ATGGAGAATATGAAGCAAGTGTGTAAGAGAGGAAAGGTACATTAATATGGGGGGAAGTAGCTGGTGTGAACATGCTTCAGAGTGAATGGCAAATCTCCACAGAGAATGAATTGCAGTGAATTTTATAAAATGCACATCTGTGAATTTTAATGGGTCGCCTTTTGTTTTACAGTCATACCTCGGGTTACAGACACTTAGGATTGCGCGATTTCGGGTTGCGCACTGCGCCGAACCCAGAAGTACCGGAACGGGTTATTTCTGGGTTTCGGCGCTTGCACATGCACAAAAGTGTTAAATTGTGCTTTGAGCATGCGCAGAAGTGCCAAATTGCGACCCGCGCGTGCGCAGACACGCCGGTGCGGGTTGTGAACGCTGCGGGTTGCGAACGTGCTTCCCGCACGGATCACGTTCGCAACCCGAGCGTCCACTGTATAGGCAATGTACTCTGTGTATGTGCATAACACACAAATAGACACAGTCTCGTGAAAACAAAGTGACTGTGATCTAATATTTTATTGGCTTTCCTTTATTGGCAAGCTGTGTTTAATGGAGGGAGGGAGGCGCTTCAGAGAGCAGTTTGCAAACTGCTCTCTGAAGCACCTCCCACTCTACTTGAAACATCTCATCTGGGCTGGCTGCCCTGCCCCTCACTGCTTGCTTGCTTGCTTGCCTGCCTGCCTGTCTGTTGTCATGTGGGAGTTGCCGTGGCCACCTGTTGGTAGCCATGTGAACTGCAGCATGACAACCGTCTTATAATTTTATCTATAGTATGATACCTACAGATCAGGATAGGCTTTCGTGGAAAGTGCCATCAAACTTTCTGTTGTGTTTGTTGGAGTAGACCTGACATGGCTCCCCCACTGGAGACATAGTATTTATGGCAAGCTGGCACAAGCATGCCTGTCTCTTGATGGTTGAGACATTGAGTGTGACTTGCATGTGTGAGCAATCCGTCTCATATTAAAACACCACACAGTCTTTTATCCAGGCCTTTGGTTGGTTGGTTGAGTGTCTTTCTGTCCCCTATTTGTTGCTTTGCCTTTGGTTGTTTTTGTGGTTTTATTTTATAGTTTTCTGGAAACAGCTGAATATATTTTTGTTTGTTGGTAAGCTTTTCCTGCTGGGTTAAAAGGCCTGTGCCTTTTCTGGATTGTGTGAAAACCTATCATTAGTTGATGGTTTTTTGTACTGTTTTAGTTGTTTGTATGTAAATTGTCTTGAGACCAACGAAGAAGGCAGTTATTAAATAAATAAATGATAATATAAGCTGTGGTTTTATTTATTGGTCGTTTGCTTTTGTTTTTATATTCTTGTGACCCACCATGGTGAAGGTAAAGGGTAAAAGGGCAGTCTGTAAGTAGGAATATTTTCCCCTCACCCTACCTTACCTCAAATGACATGCTTTTCCATTGCGTCCTTTCACCCATCCTTGAGAATTCCACCCACTGGCATTCATTTGTTAACTGGTCCATAGGTTTCACAGGTGTGGGAAGTCATTATACAAGCGCTAAAATGCCTTCCTTCACTGGACTCACAAAAACACAACACTGCTTTTTCTGGCAGTCCTCCTTCTTCCCTTGAGGGCTCCCTACTTGGCCCACAAGTCATCATGAAACATATATTGAAATGGATGTTTAAATCCCTGTGAAAGTTTCAAATAAAGCTATGCCGTTTTGATTAGAGGGAGATAAAACGGAAAGCTAGAAAGAAAAGGACTTTGCTCGCTGTCCTCAGGAGGAGTTCACTGGAAGCACACTTAATCAGGCAGAACCACTGAGCTAATCATAAACAAAAAAGTTTTTTTTTAGTGTATAATCAGGTAGAAAATATACATTTTAAGCAGTGCAGCCAAGGTTTACGCCCATATGCCAGCAGTCGAAAAACAAACTGTGGGTTGATTTTTTTAATTTCCAACTTAGAAATCTTTTTGTTCTCCGGTGCAAGATGTGTGCATGTTTCTGTTATTTCAGCTTGACTCGTTTTGAAGCCACGGGGCAGGTCAGAACAGCCCCATCAGCATGTCATGGGAAATGGCAAATTGCTGCACTCCATTTGGAGTAAATGTTACTGAAGATGAAAACCGCACTTCAGGTGCCGTTTTGAAATCCTCCAGACCACTCTGGACTGTGTTGCCTCAAGAGGCGGTAGGGCACCACAGTGCTTGAAACTCTGAAGGACAGCCTCTCTCAGATGCTGGCAACACTAAGAGGAAGTCAGTACCGCTTGAATGAAGTATTGACTTGCCCATGAAGATAAACCAGGTAGAGCGCTCACCTGGTCTGAGATGCCAGCTGGTTTAAGATGCTGTCTAGGGAGTAAGTGGCCCTGAGACTGCTGCCACGAAGCCAGTGTATCTGCTCTGGGAATCATGATGCGAAAAGTGATCTGGAGTTCCAAGTCAATGCATTAGATTACAGCAGTTTTCAACCTATGGGTCCCCGGATGTTGTTGGACTACAACTCCCATCATCCCTGAGCTCTGGCCTTGCTAGCTAGGGGTGATGGGAGTTGTAGTCCAACAACCTCTGGGGACCCACAGGCTGAGAAAGCCTGCATTAGAAGTACGTCAAACTCAATACGATGTAGCAAACACGTGGGGAACCTTTCTCCATCCAGATGTGACTGAACTGAGATTCCCATCATCGCTGGCAATTGCTGGAGCTAAAGTTTGGCAGTGTTTTGCTTTTACAAACTGACGCTCTCTGTTTCTTTCCCCCCAGTGTCCGCCGAAAACTTTTTGTACACCTCTTTGGGAGGAGACACATCCATCGAAGGAGTGGATGACGCAGACGACTTTGAGAAAACCAGGCATGCCTTCACTCTGCTTGGTAAGGGATTGTTTAAAAGATGACTTGGATGGTTTCCCAGTGGAACATTTGGATTGATATGGCTGTCCTTTGCAGAAGGCGCTGCATAACCCCTTAGGAGCTTTAGTGTGATCTCATGACCCTTGAAGGCATTTGGGTGTGGGTGTGTACGTGCATGCAACTGCAACACACCCAAACACACACACTTAGCTTTACCTTGCTTGTCTACCTATTTAATTTGAATAATGCATTGCAGGCATATAGCTATTCGTGCTTTCCTCGACATGGCAATTGATGTTGCCATGCTAGTCAATGAATTGGTTAAATTAGTAGATGATTCACTCCAAAGATTTTTAATCAGACCGCAAGTTTGTTAATTCATTTTAATAAAAGTGTTTGCAAAAATCTATGGCTGAGAAGATGTATTCACACCACCACCCTAGTTTCCTGCAAGGGAGGAAATGCTTCTAAGATGGTGCTTCCTGGAATATGTGCAGGTATTGTTTAAAAATATTATATATGCTTTTTCTTCAAAAAATTATTTACTTATACACATATTTGTGCCGATTAATCAATCCATTAAAATCTGTTTTGGTTTGTGCTGAATCCGAGTGTTGATCCATCTAGCCCAGGCATAGGCAAACTTGGCCCTCCAGATGTTTTGGGACTACAGTTCCCATCATCCCTGACCACTGGTCCTGTTAGCAAGGGATGATGGGAGTTGTAGTCCCAAAACATCTGGAGGGCCAAGTTTGCCTATGCCTGATCTAGCCCAATAGTGGTTGCCTATCAGTGTTTCACAAACTTGGGTCCCCAACTGTTATTGGACTACAGTTCCCATCATCCCTGACCACTGGTGCTGCTAGCGATGGATGATGGGAGTTGTTGTCCAACAGCAATTTTGCACCTGTTATTCCAAATTTTGCACCATTGAATTGGTTTCTGTCCCCTGTATAGATTATGCAAACTGGGCAGGATATCATAATTTCTCTTATTTTGTATAAGTCTTGTTTTGCTTTGCATAGTGGGTGGTGCTATATTACCCCCGAGATACCAAAAATTAATTCTGGCCCTTCTCTGATTTGAGATTCGAACAGGCATTGCCCACACATTCATGCATATGCTTGGAACCAGGAGAGCTGGAAATAGGAATGTTGTTATTGCTGTTAATTTAAGGCTGAGGTTCTTAGGGCAGGAGCAGGAATCACACCCTATAGATCTCCTGCAGCCACGTGAAAGCAGTTCTCCAGGCACATTCCCTCTGTGAAAACTGGATATTGGTTGTTTCTTTCAGGAGTGAAGGATTCCCATCAGTTGGCCATTTTTAAGATACTCGCCGCTATCCTGCACTTAGGAAATGTGGACCTTCAACCAGAACGTGATGGAGAATCCTCTAGTATATCAGTAAGTTCTCTGTGTTGTTGCTGCTGTTGTTATAAATAATAATAATAATAATAATAATAATAATAATAATGGTAACAATTAATTAATTAATTACCTGTCCTTCACCCTGAGGCCCCAGGACATGTCACAACAATTAAAAACAATACAGTCATACCTCGAGTTGAATGTGCTTCGGGTTGAGCGCGTTCGAGTTGCGCTCCGCGGCAACCCGGAAGTAACGGAGCGCGTTACTTCCGGGTTTCGCCACTTGCGCATGTGCAGACACTCAAAATGACATCATGCACGGAAGCGGCGAAACGCAACCCGCACATGTGCAGACGCGCTGTCGCGTCTTGCGTTCCGTTTGGGATGCGAACGGGGCTCCGGAACGGATCCCGTTCGCATCCCGAGGTACCACTGTATTAAAAACAGTTTAAAACAATCAGGAATACGGTAAACATGGAAGAGGCCATTTGTGCCATTTGTTTTGTCCCCAAATTCTTGATAAAATACCGTATTTTTTGCTCTATAAGACTCACTTTTTCCCTCCTAAAAAGTAAGGGGAAATGTGTGTGCGTCTTATGGAGCGAATGCAGGCTGCGCAGCTATCCCAGAAGCCAGAACAGAAGAGGGATTGCTGCTTTCACTGTGTAGCAATCCCTCTTGCTGTTCTGGCTTCTGAGATTCAGAATATTTTTTTTCTTGTTTTCCTCCTCCAAAAACTAGGTGCGTCTTGTGGGCTGGCGTCTTATAGAGCGAAAAATACGGTAGTTTAGGGCTCTTTCGGTATTGTGCTACAGCTCTCCCACTTGCCTAAGCTTGTGGGATAGCTCAGTCGGTAGAGCATGTGACTCTTAATCCCGGGGTCATGGGTTCAAGCCCCCCCCGCTGGGCAAAATATTCCTGCATTGCAGGGGGTTGGACTAGATGACCCTCAGGGTACCTTCCAACTCTGCAGTGCTGGGATTCTATAAGTCTGGGGAGCAGCTAATTTTAGCTGTGCAGTTAGAGAACCGAAGACTCGAATAATAATAATAATAATAATAATAATAATAATGATTAATTTTATCTATACCCCCCCCCAGCGAAGACCGAGCTCAGGGCGGTTAACACCAGTTATAAAACAATTGATTAAGATTCAACTTAAAAACAACATTAAAATACAACATTAAAATGCAGCCTCAGTTCAATAGAAACTCAAATCAAAAACTTTTTGGGGATGAAAGCATCAAATCTTCACCAAGGCCAACTATTCAGACTGGTCCTACCTGGGCCAGAAAAAAGCCAGGGAAGTCCCCAAATAGGAGTCCCATCACAGAAGGAGAAAGGAAAAAGGAAAGAAGGAAACATGTAGGTTAAGCATGAGGAAAGTATTCAGAGTGTGCTGGTCCTTAGAGCAGCATCTGTACCTCCCAAATCAAAATGCTTGAAGAAAACACAAGCTCATGAGTAACACATCTAAAAAAAAAGGTGTACTAGCTGTTCCCCTTTCTTCTCTTACATGCTTCTTATTCAAGGCAGGACGAATACAATAATATAAACGCGATAGTAGCGCTCTGTGAAATCTGTGGCCATTGTGACGTCCTGTTTCAGGGAAGTTTTCTGCTTTAATTAAAATATCCAAATGTGCTTTTGCAGTGTCGCTGTTACCCAAGAGATGAGCTGTTTTAATTTCAGGGCTTTGATCAATTGGGTACATAAACAAATCTTCTCTTGTAGCGTTGTCTTCCCTTAATATCATTGGTGTTATTTAATTAAAATGTAAGTACAGCTCTGTGACGCTAGAGCTGTCTGTTAACTCATTTAATTAGTGATGAGGCAACCTGGTGTAACAGAATGTGATTGTGTAGAGAAGAGATTGGCTTTGTGTGGCCCTCCACTCACAACTTCTTACAGGGGAGCAACAGTCCCAATGGGCTATTTGTCTCTGTTCTGGCTTGGGTATGGCAGTCAATTGCCAAGGAGCACATGGCAAAAACTTGAGTGGTGCCTCAGGTCACAGTCAGGTTAGGAGGTATTGCCTTGAGGCATGTGGCACAGACCCACATTCCTGACCCTTCAGCCCTTGCTCAGTTCAAGGCATGGTCCCTGTTTTAAAATTGCTGGCTGCCCATTTTTTTTACTAACATGCAGTTTCTCAGGGTTAAATAAATGTGAGGCTCAAATTGACCTTGATCCTAGTTGTAGGTGTATGCCATTGTAAAGCAGGGGGTGTTTAAAGCTATGCTTGCTCTGGGAATAAGCAATAGAAAGTACCGTATTTTTCGCTCTGTTTCCGCCTGCGTCATTTCCACTGCGGCTATCCGCAGCTATCCCTGAAGCCTTCAGAGCGCAGCGCAAGTTACCGCTGCGCTAATGAGGCTTCGGGTTCCTTTTTCTGAAGCCGGGAGAGCAAGACTCTCTTGGCTTCAGCGAAAGGAACCTGAAGCCTGCTGAGCACAGCGGGAACTCGGGCTGCACTCCAAAGGCTTCAGGCGGCTATCCCAGAGGCCTGGAGAGTGAGAGGGGTCGGTGCGCACCGACCCCTCTCGCTCTCCAGGCTTCAGCGAAAGCAACGCGAAGCCTCCGGAACGCGGAGGCAGCACTCCCTCTGCACTTTAGAGGCTTCGCATTGCTATCGCTGAAGCCAAGGAGCCAGCATTCGCTCCATAGGACGCACACACATTTCCCCTTAATTTTTGGAGGGGAAAAAGTGCGTCCTATAGAGCGAAAAATACGGTAACTCCTCCTGCTGCCTTTCCTCCTCGTTTTCCAAAATAGAAGTATGTGGCAAGTTTTCCAAAGGAAGTGGTGATGGAATAGGCATGAAAAGCAAACACTGTTGAAAGGAGGGCACCATAGTAAACGTTCTTCATTTCCGTTATCTAATTGGCCACAGGGTGTGGAGAGGTCCTGTTTTTAAATATAGTGGACACTCGGGTTGCGAACGTGGTCCATTCGGGATGCACATTCGCAACCCGCAGCGGCGTGTCTGCACACACGCAGGTTGCGATTTGGCACTTCTGCGCATGCACAAAGCGCAAATTAGCACTTCTGCGCATGTGCGACTGCTGAAACCCAGAAGTAACCCATTCTGGTACTTCTGGGTTTCGGCAGTCCGTAACCCAAAAAAATGCAACCTAAAGCAGCTGTAACCCGAGGCATGACTGTATTTGGAAGTAAGATACTTTGCTAATCTACCCAGAGGTTCTCTAGTAGATCCCAACCCACCTTTGGCCCACCACTGGTCTACATAGAATCATAGAACTGTTGAGTTGGACGGGATCCCGAGTGTCATCTAGCCCAACCCCCTCAAGGCAAGAATCTCAACACATGGTCCCGCATCCAATTGGAAGCCATACCGGACCCTGCTTTATGGGCCAGCAGCTTTATTACTGCACCAATAGGAGGTGGGAAATCAGGGGTAAAATAGCAGCATATGACAAATCTGAGACTGGTTAAAATAGCAGTGAGGTTGTTAAGAGCCTTGATGACCTTATGAGCTGAATTTGGACATTGCTTCATTTGGAACAAATGAAACTGGGAGCGCAATTCTGTAAACAAGCTTCATCACTCAAAGTGAGCTTCAGCTCTCAGAACGGAAGCCTCCACCCCTCGCTTCCTTTCCCCTGTTAACCAGAGGGGCGGGTGGGCTCTTGTCATCTGGTCCGTGTCCCCCATCGCATGCTTTGCTGAATTGGATGTCTTTCTTTATATCCTAGAAACAGGATGAACACCTGCATAATTTTTGCAGATTGCTGGGAGTAGAGCACAGCCAAATGGAGCACTGGCTCTGCCATCGGAAGCTGGTCACCACTTCGGAGACCTATATCAAGAACATGTCTGTCCAGCAGGTTGTGAACGCCAGGAATGCACTGGCCAAGCACATTTATGCCCAGCTGTTCAACTGGATTGTGCAGCACATCAACAAGGCCCTGCACACCACGGTCAAGCAGCATTCGTTTATCGGGGTGCTGGACATTTACGGGTAGGCAGAAAGCCTGTTTTCATTTGCCAGGACAAGGTTTTTGCTGGACGCTTGAGGTTGTTTGCATTGCAGTTTGCAAAATGGTTAGAGCCGTGTGTGCTGATGGGGTGGCTGTTTGCTTATCCATGCAGGAAAACAGTAATACTTGGCAGAATTTGTATGGCACTTTTAAGGAGGGTTGTTGTTGTCCATAGAGTTTAAGGAGGGTTACTCAAATGCAAAGGGACACGGGTGGCGCTGTGGGTTAAACCACAAAGCCTAGGGCTTGCCTATCAGAAGGTCGGCGGTTCGAATCCCCACGGTGGGGTGAGCTCCCGTTGCTCGATCCCAGCTCCTGCCAACTTAGCAGTTTGAAAGCACATCAAAGTGCAAGTAGATAAATAGGTACCGCTCCGGCGGGAAGGTAAACGGCGTTTCCATGCGCTGCTCTGGTTCACCAGAAGCAGCTTAGTCATGCAGCTTAGACAAATGCCGGCTCCCTCGGCCAGTAAAGGGAGATGAGTGTCACAACCCCAGAGTCATTCACGACTGGACCTAATGGTCAGGGGTCCCTTTACCTTTACCTTTACCCAAATGCAGGCCAAGACTTTTGCTGAGACTACGGAGGAAGTTATTTGCAAAACTGATTGAAAGAGAGGTAGCTCTTTTTATGTTGTGAACCGCCATGAGATCTATGGATAAAGGCGGGTTTACAAATTTAATAAATAAACTGCAATTGGGAAACAAGTGCAGACCCCATGCGTCTTCTGTGGCCACAGTTGCAGAGGCAGCTAAACGCCAGTTTGAGAATCACAGCTGTGGAGTACTGGGTACTTTGCATATTTAATTTTGCTGCTGCTTACAACAGTCCTGTGAGGTAGTACAGCCCTCTGTTTCCAACAGTGTCAGTCATGTTTTGATTACGTCTTGATTAATGGAGGTTCCAATTGTATCCTTTTAAAAAAACAACTAAGCTAGCGGTCAGTACCACATATTGTGGCAATGAGTTCCGTAAGTTAATCATGGTGTGAATAAGTGCTTCCTTTTGTCTGACTTGCGTCTATTGTCAATCATACTTGTTTGGGTGACCCCAAGTTCTGATTTTATGAATGCAGAAAGAAAATATTTCTCTGTCCACATCATTCATAATCATATCCACTTTGTCTCCATGGACCATCTCCCATCATCACTATTTTCCTAAAACAAAAAACAACCCAACTTCTTTATCCTTTTGTCACAGAAGAGATGCTCCACTTCCTTGATCAATGGGACAAAAGAGGTGTGAAAATTGAAGGAATTTTTTTTTAAAGTAACCTAATAAATCCGTACAAGTTCTCTTGATTTCAGAGAGAGTTTCCCCCTGCCAAGGATGGAGGTTTGACAAGCCAAAAGCTATTAGCGACACAGGAAAAAAGAGAGAGGCATAAGACCAATGCAAAAAAGAAAAAAAAAAGCTTGCCAGTCAGAGACATCTGAGCTGAGAACAGGAATCCAAATTGAAGGCTAATACCCATGGAAGATTAAGTTAGGCAAGGGGGTGTCTATTAGTGTGAAATTCATTTTCTTCACCCACCATCTGGTGCTTATGCCTATTTGTCAGAGAAGGGGTTTGGGAATCACTGCCCTAAAAAAAGAAAAACTGGGCTAAGTGGCATCGTTTAATTGATCAAAGAGACGCTTCGGTGCAATGAGCTTTGCCAGCAAACGTCAGGAATATGATCTTTTCAGCAAAAGAGCTTTATCTGCTAGGGACGCTGGTGAGAATTAGCTGCTGTCGTCTCTCGTTGTTGCACCTCTCTCTAATGAAATGTCCGCATGGACACAAATGGCAGAAACGAAGCAGTGGAGCCCAGTTGCGTCCTGCTGGCCTCTCCAGAATAACCTAGTTGGCCACTGTGAGAACAGGAATGCTGGACTAGATGGGCCTTTGGTCTCATCCAGCAGGGCTC